TATATTTAAAAATAATTAATTTTATTTTTTGTGTATTTTAGTTGAATTTAGTAATATTGTTATTCGCATTTGTCTTTATATATAGCGGATAAAAGAAGTATTGAACACGTCACCATTTTTCCCAGTAAATATATTTCTAAAGGTGCTGTTGACTTTTGACCCAATTAATCCATACATACAAATAAAACAAAACAAATAATTTCAGAAATTAAGTTGTGTAATAAAATGGAATGACACAGAGAAAAAGTATTGAACTACTGAAATGTATTTAATACTTTGCACAGAAGACTATGTTGGTAATGACAGCTTCAAGACGCCTCCTGTAGGAGAAACTAGTGGCATGCATTGCTCAGGTGTGATTTTGGCCTATTCTTCCACAGAGTCTTCAAATCTTGAAGGTTCTGTGGACCTCTTCTGTGAACTCTGATCTTTAGTTCTTATTTTCTGTTGGATTCAAGTCAGGTGATTGGCTGGGCCATTCTAGCAGCTTTATTGTCTTTCTCTGAAATCAATCGAGAGTTTCCTTGGCTGTGTTTGGGATCATTGTCTTGCTGAAATGTCCACCTTTGTTTCATCTTCATCATCCTGGTACTGTAGGTGTTGGGACTGAACCAGCTAATATTAATTTCCACTGACTGGGGGCAGGATTGCTTTCTAATTACTGATAGATTTCAGTTGGTGTCTTGGCTTTCCATGCCTTTTTGCACCTCCCTCTCTTCATGTGTTCAATACCTTTTCTCTGTGTCATTCCATTTTATTACACATAATTTAATTTCTATAGGCGCAGGAAGTTTTTTTCTGTGGGCAATTGTTGGGAATTAAAAAAAAAAAATAGGAGTGTCCATTTACACTAAGTGCAAATAGCCCGCCTTGTTGGCAGAGGCTATTTAGACCAACTCCACCCACCAACGTGTGACTGGGCTAGTCAACATTACAAAAGACGGTCATCAATCGTCAGATTCAGTGGTGTAGATGGTAAAGTTTGTGTCATAGGCCTACTCCTTTTGACGCGATCGACCCGGGTTCGAATCTGCCTTTTGGCAAACTTTTTGAATCCCTTTTCAAATTTCAAATCACATCACATCAGAAAAGCATTTCTTTTTTTTAACACAGTTTTTTTAACTTGCGTTGTTACCATCATCTGGTGAAAATTTCAAGTCAACAGCACCCTTAGAAATATATTTACTGAGAAAAATGGTGACGTGTTCAATACTTATTTTACCCACTGCATATTGTACTATATTTTGAATATTACTATTTGGGTTAATTTTTTTTATTTCAATTTCAGTTTTTAAGTTTTATTTCAGTTAACAATTTAAAAAATAAAAATAACCCTATTGCAAAACTGTATGCTGTTATTTTTTGCATTGAAAACAATGGTGAGGATTTTTTAACTTTATTTTATGCAGCTCTTTTCCTTTTTGTGTGAGAAACTGAAATTAGATCTTGGATGATCTTGTTCTCCACTGCAGCTCTCAAATCTAATTCTCCATTCGGCATATTCACATTGTCACAACATGTGCTGAGAACCAATGTTGTTTGCTGTCAATGACGTCAAACCTGGCTCAATGTGTCCACATGCTTTTCCTGGAGTCGTAATGCAGATGCTAATGCCATTTCAGAGCTTTAGTGGAGGAGAAGATTTCCAGGTAAATCAATAAGATCTCAAGCTCATTCTGTGTAAAGTTGAGGAGCCTTGTAAGTGTCCTTACTGCGTTCCGATCACATTGGTCCAGAGCGGTCATAAGAGTCTCATTCTAAGCATATGTTGCTTTTATCGTAGCGTCTGTAGCCCTTTGAGTTCTCGGGCACCGTTCCAGCTCGCTGCAGGTTACGAGAAACTGGAGTGTCCCGAAATAGCCAGACCTCAATCAAACCAGCAGATTTGATCTGACTGAGGGACACGCTCTCAAAGGCACACATCAAACGGCCACGGATCTTAAAGCTATTTGCCCGTTTAAGGATGTTACTTCTTAAATCCTGCTACCTCAAACCCTGAACTCCAGACTTAGCTTTTTCTAAAGCCTAGCTTTTTCCATCCATTCCTCCATATATGAAGAAGGGGGTCTGAAAATAAACTCTGGTGGGCAGTCAAGGGATGTGTGACAAATTTTTTAAAATACTTTCAGGGATACAAATTCTCCCTTTGATTTTTTTTTTTTTTTTTTCTCGGATTAAAGTATGCTGCCTCTCCTTTGAGACAGCATTAGGAAGGGTTTCTTGGCAGGGCTTGGTGGCGTACATGAAATTCATCCAAATTACTAAACATCCTGTTTCTTTTTCACTCTCGTTTTTCAGAATACGCAGAAAATATTGGCGACGGCAAGAGCGAGGAGTTTAAGGAAAGTGAGCAGAAGAGGATTATGGAACTACTTGAGAACTTCTAAAAATCCAGTTGGAGCTCAGTGTGGGTTTTACTAAGCAGTTTTTTTTTTCTGCGTTATGGTGAAGCTACATGTATTTTGACCAATCCTCATCCTGTCCTGACTGGACCACAAAAATCTGAAGTTTGAACATTCACGTGGCTGATTGTATCCCAACAGATTGGATCTGGATATTGAATCTGTTGATATCCAACACATTTTGTTCATGTTTATAGTTGTTACTGTTTTCTAGGCCAGATATTTTGTGTCAAAACAACTTCAGTTTTCTTGTAATTAAAGTTTGTGCTTTTCTTTACTTCGTGCCGTTTCCTTCATTAGATTTTGTAGCCTAGATCACCTTCCAGGAGACTTAATGTCTCATTAGACCAATTCAGGCAGCAAAACAACTCTTGTGCTGAAACATAATTTAGGAAAATGTTGTGTTTATGTCTCTGTTCTCCTTTCCAGCGTTCCTGTAGATGGCTGATTAAGTGAAGGATTGTGGCTTTCCTATCTTTTCAGCCTTTGTTTGTCATCTCATCATTCAGGTCCCTTTATATGAATCCAGGGTCCATAACATTCTAAACCTGCTAATGGCTGGTGGATTTTACTGTATGTTGCTTCTTTGTCTTGCTGCTACTCCCTGGAATATGTGTCAAACAACGGACGCCATGTGTCACTGGCAGCGTTATAAGTTTGCCATTCTCTCAGTGAATCAGCAAACTCTTAATTGTTTCTCTTATTTTAGTTTCAGTGGGAAATGTGTCAACACATGGAGTTTTGGAGTTCTGACAGTAAAATATTTGGCTTCTTAATAAGCTAAGGCAAACTTCTGAAGGTAAATTTCAAGGTTCCCACATTTAACCAATACAAGTTTTTTCATGATCTTATTTGTGATTACTGGACAAAGCCTTTAAAGGGATAGTTCATCCAAAAATGGAAATTATCATCATTTACGCACCCTCAAGTTGTTCCAAACCTGTATGTGTTTTTTTCTTCTGTGGAACAAAGAAGGAGGTACTTTAAAGAATGTTTGGTAACCAAACAGATGAAGGTCCCCATTGACTTCCATACTATGGAAGTCAATGGGGACCAGAAACTGTTTGGTTCCCTGCATTCTTTGAATATCTTTTTAAGTTTAGCAGAAATAAAGAAAACAACTTGGAACGACTTGAGGGTGAATTAATGATGAAAAATGAATTTAAATTTTTCGGTGAATCATCCGTTCAAGTTTCAATTATGACAAAATTGCTAATGAATGAATTCAAAATGATTTGTTGTCTACACAAGCAGTATTTCCTTTTTTAGATTTTTCTTTCTTTTAGAGGATATGGCTGCTGTGATTCTAATGGCCGTTAATTAGATGTTTGTCCAGTGGCGATGAGCCAGAGAATCCCAATCCCTTGCTAATAGCGGGCCTGCTGAGCTAGCGAGAAAATGTTACAGCTCTCTCTCGTTCTCTAACTTCTCTTTACATCCCCTTGTTAATTTACAATCCCTGCTTCCCCTTTTCCCGCGGGCTTAGTGTATGTATCGCCATGGCCAGGGAACGTTCTGCCATATAGAGACAATTTGCTAACTAAGCTCTCCTTTGCTACGGACGGAGTCTTTAGCTGAAGGTTGAGAATAATTGTTAAAGCTCTAGAGTCAAATTGAATCAATCCAGCGGAGTTCTTCGGCAAGCCGAACGGGGGGCCATTACGCTGGATTTATACTCACTGGAGGGCCAGCGCTTTAAAACAGACATTATGTAGGGAAATTATTATTGTAGTAACAAAAACATCTCTGTGTGGCTCTGGGCCTTGATGAATCTTCTTCGTTTGACGAGCAGAGAAAGGCAGCGCCGCGTTTCGCCAGCTAATTAAGTGCCGCAGTCTCATTACGGCTTGCACTTTATCAGACATCGACAGTTCGAGGCCCCCGTGGTCATTGTCCGCTGTAGACCGGCTCTGAAGCACTCGTATGCACCTCGAGAGGCACGGCGCATCTCCTCATTTCCCGCCCCGTTGTCATAGAGCGATAACTTCCTGTCCTTTAGCCTCGGGACAAGTGCACAAGAGTCATTATCTCGCCGACTCTTTCCCCGCACGTTCTCTTTTGTTTATCCATCGGCCTTGTCCTCGGAGGAGCTCCACTTTCCCGCTCCCGGCTGATGCTCCTGGCATATTAAATATTATCTGGCTGTCCTTTCCGTGCTTCTGTTGGCGTAGCACGGCTTTATTTGCAAGGTCTCTGTATTTCCCTGCGTCTCAGGAGGTCAGTGATTGCTGCTAGTTCTCATCGTTACCAGGGAGATGGTTTGCAGAGAGAGGGAGGCGTAAATACTGTAGAGGAATGCCGACAATTGGAGGAGGTGATGTGCGACAGTTACCCATCTGTTGAATTGTACATTATGATGAATTGCGTGTGCCTAGAACATTATTGATGCCCCTCTGCCAACACATCAAACTTGAAATGCAAATGAGCGGTAACTGCAGAACGGGGCGAGCGCCCGGTGCGCTTCAAGGACACGGTCATTACCGTAGCGATGCTTGTCGGGAGCGAATGTCAATCACTCTCGTCTCCGGTTTGCCGTGGCAGGGCGGAGGCCGCGGCGGCTCATGCAGAGCAACATCTGCTTCCACCCTTCCTCCGAAATCACCCGGATAAAACTCAGGATCGTTATTTGCATTTTGAATTGACGGGAAGGGCAGGTATCCCAGTAGCATCTCTTATCAGTGATTATGACACTGGCGTGCTAACGGTGATTCAACAGCAATTTCACAGCCCAGAGAGCTCGGAATAATTGTCTTTTTCCGAGTGATTGAGTTGAGCTCTGCGAGTGCTGATTTCAACCTCCTCGCATTGGCTAAACTGATGCGAACCTGTGGCGGGAGCGTTCTTTTATACCCACTTATAATCCCAGTATTGTGCGGGTCACAGGGAAAGTTAAAACTGGGTTGTTCATTCTGTAGATCAGTGGGAAACTGGATGGTAGCATTCCCTGAGCATTTATCTCCCAAAAAACATGTAAAATGATTTTATCCTTACAAAAATCACTGTGCTTTTATAGCTATTTCATGGTAATTTGTAATTTTAAGGCACTTCAAAGAATGCAGTGGTTTTATTTTTTTTTTGTATTACCATCATGGTAATATCCAGGGTATATTTTTAAGATAATGCCATGCATTGCAAAAGGCATGAAAACCAGTGGCATTTTAGCCACATTGTACTGTCAGACTACTCTGGGTTTAAATGTCATCAGTGCATTTTGTTTTTCTCACAATCCTTAAAGAGAAAAAGGGATTTAAAAAATCATTATAATTGTGCGTTTTGACTTGAAGAGTCAAAGTTAGCTACAACTAAATATTCTGTAAGCACAGGATTATATCTGCATTAAGTAGTTATGACTAAAAACAACCTTTGCATCATCAAATGTTCAGAATAGCATTTTTCTGTAAAGCATGTATTATGTGTATGTTTTGTGTTTGGTATACACGCAAAGCTCTCTGCTGAATAATGTATCCCATAATGCAATGTGCTTGACTTAACCTTCCATTCCCAGCGTTGTGAAGGGCCTTGAGGTATTTTTTTCCCCCTACATTATTCAATACTCATTCAATCAGTATATCAGCTAAACTTGAGTTTAACGTGCAGCATAATTAGTGGATATAACAGTGTATATAAAATGTAAATGCAAAATTTAAATGAACCCTTGAATGGCCTTTAAAAGCATAGTTCAAACTAAAATGTAATCTTCCTTTCATTGTCATTTCAGTATGCATTTCTTTCCTCTGCAGAAAAAAATGTCTTGTTTTTCTTATGTAAAAAAAAATGTTTGGCAAATGATATCTTTAAATTGATTAATTTCCATTAATCAGCACAGATTTTGTCCCAATATCTATGGATAAATCATTCTGCATGTATGTCAGCTTACCACTAAATATAATGTTAACTTGAAAATACTTTAGTAAACTAAATGTATAAGACGTCTATCATTCCATATTGGATATTATTTCACACACTATTTGGCACCTTGATATCAATTTAAAGGGGTCATATGATGCTTTTTTAAAGATGATTATTTTGTGTATTTGGTGTAACAGAATGTTGACATGATTTAATGTTCAAAAAACACATTATTTTTCAAATACTGTACATTATTGTAGGTCCTCTATGCCCCGCCTCTCTCAAACGCTTAGTTTTCTACAAAGTCCCTCCTTCCGACAAGCGCAGTCTGCTCTGATTGGCCAGCTGACCCAGTGCATTGTGATTGGCCGAACACCGCAAGCACTCGGTGTAACGCCCCTTACCATAATCGCGAGCTTCATCTTTCAAAATAAATGTAAAGACAGAGCCTGAAAGGGGAACAGAGTCGCGTGACAGACACAGTGATGAAGCTGGTATGTGTTTGCAGTACACAAGCCACGGTTAAGACAGCTG